TTTTTTTTCAAATGACTGGTTTAAGAACTTATACAGAAATACATGAAGCACTTCTTTTTATTTATATATTATCAATTTCATTTTGACATTAAGGAGTGGTTTTAAGTGAAGAAATTGCATTATTAATCAGTTTTGCTTTGCCAGGTATTCTTATTACAGAATTTGAAGTTAATAAACATTGATAGAGAACAAGCCCTCTCTGAGTATATTGAAATTGAATATCCAGATACTGATTTAACATCTTTCTATTATGTAATGCTTAACAATGGCATTTGATAACATTCAATTGCTAAGTATTATCATCCCATGTGAGATATATGTTGTACCTAGCATATGTATTGGAGTATATACCAGATTACACTTCACACTCAGGCCTACCCAACTACCAGACTCAGCACCTAAGGATCCTGAATTTACCGATATATCAAACCACACTACCCGTCTTCAAGGTGTGTGTCAGATCGCATTTCGGAGTATCAGTCAGAACACTGAGTTTGTCCTACAAAAATTGTTCTGGGGTGTGATACTCCGAAATGCAATCTGACACACACCTTGAAAACGGGTAGTGTTGTCCGATATACCGGTTAATTCAGGATCCTTATGTGCCGAGTCTGGTAGTTGGGTAGGCCTGACACTGGTCCAACTCTACTGATGAGACTTTTCCGACTTTTGTTGGAAATCTGACTTTTTCAGGGTCATTTGGGTTATTCTTGTGAATCTTGTACCCTGAACCCCCGGCCAATTTTCCTACTTTTTCATTGAGGACTGCAACTCCCATTTGACTAAAGGGATATGGTGTGTGCTTGTACAAGTATGCATTGAATAGTTGCTATAGAAAAATCAGTAAATGTTGTTTGACAAAATTAGCTTGCTTAAAATGTGAAATTTCTTTTTTTTTTTCTATTTCAGCGTCCTCATACCAGATTCTTTGTGCACCAGTATCTCAGATATTTCTGGAGCCATGAAGAACGTGCTTTCAAATTGCTGGTGTAAATTTCTGTTTTTTCATAGATTTAACTATATTGGAAGTATCATCTTGCCATGTTACTCAGATGTAACTCGTGAGATGTTTGTAGAATTTGCTTGAAAAATTTTTTTACAACGATAAACTTGAATTGTTTTGTTCTTTGAGTATACTCTGAATTTAAGAATTTTATCGCACCTATTTTTTACGAAGTAACATTTAAAAATCATTATTAATGTACAAAAGATTACTACGTCTAACTGTATGTAATAAATTGTTTTGAAAACTAGTTTTATAGCTTTTCAAAGTTTCTTTCTGTTTCAGTGGTTTAGATAAAGGAACAAAGTGTTCTGAATTTCACAGTGAATTCCATGGCTATAGTGAATTAGAGCAAAGGCAAAAGTAAGAAACAGACATTTTTTCTTCTTGTTATTGAACTAAATGGTGTTGAAAGTTTTAAATATTTGTTCACATTACTTGACATACAGTATATTTTGCTTATCAAGAGAAATGGCTGTACGTAACAGCTAAAAGTTATCTGCTCAGGATATTTTCATTCAGAACAGTACATATTGATTCAGACATGAGCTTTTTCCACAAAAACGTGGAATTCTGCATTTTTACTTCAATTCTCATGGTTCATGGTTCTCATGAGATTTCTGGCTAGGTGTTGGGTTCCATGATAAATGTTCAGAGGTTTTTTTTTTTTAACCTGGGCTCATGTCTGTGATTACATTTTGATTGTCAAATGTTTCGGTGAAGGTCAAATATTATATTTGATTTTAAACTGACCACAGTGACATTTAACTTCAGACTGAAAATATTTGGCTGCAATGAGATTGTGGTGGAAGTGAAATCCTATTTCAAGCTGCTTGTGGAAGAGGTAATGGTTATCTACGTTTTTCAGTTTTTCTTTGTTTTACCAATACGATAATTAGTCAATCTTTCAATGGGGGGAAATTGTGAATTTTACTGATACTGTATTTTTTATGTCACAGTTTCTTAATATTAGAAAATTCCTATTTAGTAGAAGTATCAACATTAAAGAGCAGGCTACTCTATAGTTCTTTTGTATGCAGTAAAATCACCACAAAAAGCACTTAAGAAATATAATTTTGCGATTATAAAATTATGTATGTGAAAGTTTGATAATTATTGTCCATTGAAGATCAAGTCATTACCGTGTTTGAGAGAGTGGTTTATAAAGAAAGATACAGTGTATATACATATATATATATGTTATTCAATCTGACCATAGATGTATTCATTTATAGACAGCATTTCATTTGTTTTTCTAGGTGCTGAATCCCTTCTACATCTTTCAACTGTTCAGTGTAATACTATGGATGTGTGATGATTACTATTACTACGCTGGCTGTATCATACTCATATCTGTGATCTCCATAGTTGTGTCTTTATATGAGACAAAAAAGGTGAGCCAGATATTGAATTACAGTTACAGGATGTACTGCATTTGTTGGATTTTCATAAGGATGCATATTAAGACTTAATCATCTTTGTCTTTTTTGTGAAATTGACAAACTGAGGGTTTAAAAGTCTCTGTGTTATTCTTAGAAAAATGAAAAAAAAAATTTTTTTATTATTTGATGTTAAATCACAGAAGAGTGAGAAAAATCAACAATAAAATAGTCTCTCCAAAGAGACCTGAATGATATTTAGCTCATGCACCCGGATAGTTGTAATTTGCCAGGAACATTGATTTGGTTCTTGATTTCCAGCTAGCATTTCTGTGTGGGCAGGTGTGATCTGAATATTTAATTTGGTGCCTCTTTTAACATCATTAGCAAGCAGTATTTATCCTCTCTTCTGGAGGATGCTTGACAAATTGTTTGAAAAGAAGGTTATTGAGAGTAGGTCTGCAAATTAGCACTATTGCCTTTAATTATGCACATTTTTGGGACATCAAATTAGCACTATTGTCTTCAATTATACACGTTTTTGGGACATCACACAAGCAAATTCAAGTTTTGATGAAATTTCAGATTGTGTATATTTTCTTCACGAAAATGTCACAAACTGTGTTTGGTTCACATGTATCTGTTATTTGTTGAGTATTTTTCCATAAACACTGTTGGTTCACAAAATTTAATAAAGTTTTTTTAATTATTTTACCAGCAAAGTATAACCCTAAGAGACATGGTAGCCTCCCATGAAGTGAATGTAATGACAGTATCTCGCGGAGATGGAGGTAATTTTCATATTTTTTAAGTAACAGCAAATGTATCACTGAATACTTTCTGAATTTCCTGTATTGTTGATGATTTTTTAATGATTTAGCTGAATATTAAGCTGAGTTTATGACAAGAAGTGGGCCAGCTTTCTCAGATTATACTGTATATTAATGTATACCTGATAAATCTGCAAGGAAGTCTAACTTTTGGTGGGCTTTGTGTGTTCAATCTTTGTTCAAGTAGACTTTTTGTCCAATGACAATGTTTTACTTATTCAGTGCAGACAACTTAGATATCAGGACATGTCATGTGCTTGTGTCATGGGCAGATCTTTACCTGTGGTAACACTGGGCAATAACACGCTCACCCTTCAAGAAATTTTTTGATTAAAATTTTCATGAAAAGTTGGTTTTAAATTGTAAAAATATGTGATTTCAAATTTAAAAAAAGTTGTCAACAGCCAGCAATTATTATAAATACAACTAAAGAGTCATTATAATTTCAGTCTTTGAAGAGCTTCCAACCTCCAAACTTGTCCCTGGAGATGTGGTTGTGATCCCCCAACATGGCTGTATGATGTCATGTGATGCTGTCCTCCTTGTTGGGAACTGTATTGTCAATGAGAGCATGTTGACTGGTCAGTACACAGCTGTTATGTTATGTTAATTTTGGTAGAAAATATTGTCTTACAAGTTTAAAATATGCATTAATTTAATATTAGCAAGTTGGGTTTTTTAAGAACATGTAAGTTGATGAAGTTTTACTTTAAAATCACCCATGCCTGATTCTTTGAGGGGGGGGGAGGGGGTAATTTCTTCTGGCATCATCATCTTTGTATGTGTGTGTCTTTATATAGACAAAAACACATCATATTCTCTTGACTTTCATTATTAATATGGTAATAGTGTACATAACATTTTAGAATTGCTCTCTCTAGTGTGTAATTTGACTTAAGTTTTGATCATGTAAACTACTATATTAAACCCAACAGTAGTTCAAGCTTTGAATAAATATGTTCAGAATGTTTGCTGATCTGTTACGTAGGTGAGAGTGTCCCAGTGACCAAGACTCCCCTTCCAAACCAATCTGACTCAGATGAAGTATTCTCTCCTGATGATGTCCACAAGAGATACACCCTTTTCTGTGGCACTCAGGTCATCCAGACCAGATACTACGGGGCAGGAAAAGTTACCGCTGTTGTGGTCAGAACAGGTAAGGGAGTGACCACACCCATTTCCTAATCAATGGTCAGAACAGCTAAGGGAGTGACCACACCCATTTCCTAGTCAGTGGTCAGAACAGGTAAAGGAGTGACCACACCCATTTCCTAATCAATGGTCAGAACAGGTAAGGGAGTGGCCACACCCATTTCCTAATCAAGGGTCAGAACAGGTAAGGGAGTGACCACACCCATTTCCTAATCAGTGGTCAGAACAGGTGAGGGAGTGGCCACACCTATTTCCTAGTCAGGCAGTTATGTCCTTGGAGTTGGAGACAGATAAATATCAACTGTAATCCTGCAAAGTGAAGTCCTATTTTAAAAGTTGAAATTTATTTAAAAAAAAACAGACATTCTTTTTGTACTCCCCAAATGAAAAAAGAAAGAGAGAGTTTCTTATTTGATGGCTGATTTTTTGCAAAAAATTGGGATATCCATGTTGCTTGTGATCTCAGAGGTGTTCATTTATTAAAACTATATTTAGTTGACTCTGTTTTGTAAATTCTAGGTTATTCTACCACCAAAGGAGAGCTAGTGAGAGCAATCCTCTTCCCCAAACCCATGGACTTTAAATTCTACCAAGACGCTATCCGCTTTGTCCAAGTGCTGTTCCTGATTGCATCAATTGGGATGATCTATAATATTGCAACCTTTTTAAGCAGAGGGGTTAGTATAAAAGATTTTATATCCTTGAATGAAAACAATCATTGTAGTTCAAATTTGCTACCCCTGCAGGGTTCATACAGCCTTGAAAATTACTTGTATTTAGTTTGTAATTACTTGTACTTGGAATTACTACCGGCCTTGAAAAAGGCTTGTATGCCATGATTTTTGTCATTGAAAACTTGACTTTGATCTCAGTTTGTCAAAAATAATTTCAAATCTGTAGTTTTTAACCTGAACTTAGACAATAAGGTTTTTATGCATTTTAACTTACTGAGAAAGAGTTCCAATTTTATAAGATACCTTTTCTCCTTCAGGAAAGTGCTCAGAGAATTATTCTTAGAACTTTAGACATCGTGACAATTTGCGTTCCTCCAGCTTTACCAGCAGCCATGACAGTGGGCACAATATATGCTCAGAATCGCCTCAAGAAAGCAGGGATATTTTGCATCAGTCCTCCAAGGATAAACATGTGTGGGAAGTTGAAATGTATCTGTTTTGATAAGGTAGTTTTATTGACATTTCCTTAATATTTGACCCCTTAAAGAAAATGTTTTTGAGGACAGTACATTGTACATTTGTCATCCTATCCCAGATAGCAAGATGACGTTTGGCCAACGTCGGCACCGTTGGCACTTGGTCGGCATTGGCATGCCGCCATCGGGCCAACGTTGGGCCAACGTCGGCACTGTTGACGTTGGTCTGCCGTCATTGGGCCAATGTCGGGCCAACGTCGGGCCAACGTCATTTTTTTTGACTTGATCCGATGTAGGGCCAACGTTGGGCCAACATAGGACCAACATCATNAAAATAATTAATTTTGGACCTATGCAGGGCCAATAAGCTGGTTGGCATAATTACAATGGGCCAACGTTGGCCCAACGTCATAACCCTGATGCTGGGCCACCATCGGGCCAACCATTACCCACCATCGGGCCAACGTCGGCCCATCATCAGGCCAACGTCAGCTGGTTGGCAAAACGACGTTGGCCGGACGTCGGGCCAACAGATGGCTGATGAGCACGGACGTCGGCCCGACGCCGGCACCTGCGCTGGCCCGACGTAGGCCTTACGACGTTGGCCCGACGTCGTAAGGCCAACCATGCTGACGTTGGCCCAGCGTCGGGCCAACGCCTTGTTGCTATCTGGGATGTTGTCAGATTTTCTTACAGTATGGCCTCTACTTCAATCAACTATGATGTTTAGAATTTAGAATTATTTCATAATATTTTTCATAACAATTGGAAGAAATTACTTGCTCAGTTTGATTATTTTATATTCATGAAAGCGGGGTCGTTCCTGTGATAGTCAAGCAAAACATTATTTTATCCGAAGAAATATGTTTGATTCTGATATTATCATGTTCACTACACTAATGAGGTCACTGAATTATAGAAGCTGTGCATAATACATAATAACATGTTCTATTACCTGGCTCTGCTTGTGTTTTAGACTGGGACTTTGACTGAAGATGGGCTGGATCTGTTTGGTGTGGTGCCACTGCAGGAGAACAGGTAGATTTAGGAGTCATTGTTGTGAATAAATATTCTCATATGCACACACTCTGGCCACTCTTTACTTCATCATTTGCACTATCTAGGTCACTTTGTCAAAGCTGATATTTTAAAACTAAAATGAAACATTTCACCATTGAACCAAAATGAAACGTATAGTATCGGCTTCGTATGTTTAAGTAGCTAAAATTTTCTGTATAAAGCTTAATAAGGTTCTCAATCATAAACTTTAAATGTCATACAAGGAAAAAGTTGTCACATTAGTATTTGTTTGTTTTGTCTATCAGGTTTCTCCATGTAGTACAGCATCCCACGGACTTGCCCATTGGTCCATTTCTGACCGCCATGGCAACCTGTCACTCACTTACCATGATAGAAGGAGAACTGAAAGGAGATCCACTTGACTTGAAGATGTTTGAGTCTACAAACTGGGTAAGAATGTTTTGAATGTTTGATGGAATTCTGGTTATTAAAAAGACGTCAAGTGAGGTTACTGAATTATCTATGCTAAAAATGAGATTTTGGGCTGAAACAAATACTAGTAATTTAAACTCCAAACAAATGTTACCTAGTAAGTCTGAAGAGTAGAGAAATATGCTGAAGAAAAAATGAATAATTTTATTTATCCAGTTATATTATATTGATTCATTCATTTATATAAGACCGATATAATGGGAATTTCAATTTAATACAGGATCTTACACGAAACCAGTGACAAATCAAAATCAGTTCAGCTGAAAAAAGACCTTGTGATAAGGTCAAAACAACGTTTCAGTGTAAGATCTTGTATTAGGATTAACTTCTCGTTATCTGAAAGAATAGTCTATGTTGATGTTGTTGTCAGTTTATTGTTCTTCTTTTGTTAGTTATTGGGAAAAAAAACATCATCAGTGACAATAATCTAATTGTTTTCCTTATCATTTTTATTGTTGAAGAATGTTAATTGTTTTGAATGTAAGGAGAACTTAATAAAATGGAAACATAATAACAATTTTAAATTAACATATAGCTTTAGCTTAATTTATAAAGATGATTGAATTTAATAGACACATCTTTTTTTCTTAACCTCATTTACCAATTAGTTGTTTTGTGGTGTGTGACTCTGTACTTAAGCCTTGTTTGGTTTTATGGTGCCCACATTGCAAAGTTCACTTTAACTGGATTTATTTTGATTGGTCTAAAAAGTCAGAAGGAAATGTGAGAGGGAGTAAAATCCCTGCAGTGTAATAACGAATTCAGAACAGATTTGCAGACTAACCGATCCGCTGAACAAATATGGCCGACCCCACTTAAAAAGTGATGTTGCTAATTCCCTGATCATTCTGAATGTGCTCTAGGGATGTTTGGACCAGTCAAAATAGTGTGAAACAGAAAGGCGTACCACACTTGAAAAGGGCTTGTCAGTGTTTTTTTTTTTTTGGTGTGTTTTTTTTCTGCTTTAACAATACCTTCACATTTGTTGGCAGATATTGCAGGAACCAGGAAGAGAGACGACTCGCTTTGATAACTTGATCCCCACTACTGTACATCCGCCCTCTCTTGACACACTTTTCACCTCTTCAACTGGCTTTGATGGGTTTGAACAGGTGATGGTTTCTTCAGTGGTTTAACTTTAAGGCTAATTCCCAATGAAACAATCGATCCAGGGGACTCTTGCTGAATACAATGAGATTAACTGAATGACATGCCTCTTCCTGGGCTTGAGTAGAATATAGACAAGTTGGTGTTTATACGAGAAACTTGGAAACAAGAGGCCTGTTAATCTGTTAATCTGATGGCATTTAGGAAGAGTCCCTGGGGAGTTGGATCTATCTACATAGTTTCAATGGGAATAAGTTATTAGAAATAAAGAATTGGTGAAATTTGCAGAGTGAAAAGGTCCTTTTCAGATATAGGGGATAAAAACCTATCAGAGATTTTTTTCTTAGGCTGGTTATTTAAATCTCCCATGATTCTCCCTTGGTATGGTGTCCCTTTCTTTGGTGGTGTAATTGTACCCAAATTAACACATAGAGTGTCTTAGATTCTGCACAACTTCACCATTTCTTGTGTGTTTTGAGGTTTTCTTTGGACTCACTGCACTGCGTGGTAGATAGATCTGGAGGTTGAGGTAAGTTTGATGAATTACATACTGAAGTGACTGCATTTTATCACAACCATAGCTCCTGGAAGAACCTGGGCAGGATACCAGTAAATTTGACATTATGGTGCCCACCATTGTGAAACCTATTACCAAAGAAAGTTACTACTCAGGAGATACTGACAAGGTGAACTTAGTGCCACAGACATTGGGACCATTCCCAGACCATGTCGTACTAACTGGGGATCGATCTATCTCTGAGGGGCTTCTCACTAAATTGCAATCAACTTTAGTGACTTAGATGTTTTTCATGCCTATTGAAGCTGCTAAGGGCAATTAACTATAGTTAAGCAGCTTCAGTAGGTGTGCCAGACATCTAAGCCAGCTGAAAACAATTTAGTGAGAAACCCCTCGGAGATGGATCGATCCTGTTAGATCGATCTGGGTATGGGAACCCAGTCATATTCTCTATGGGTGCGTTCACAATGAAACTACCATACTAGAAGTTCTCACACCGAATGCAATGAGATAAACAGATAAACATGCCACCTCATGGTCTTGAGTAGAGTAGAATACAGAAATGCTGGTGATTATATGAGTACCTTGGAAATGAGAGGAGGTGTGTTAATCTGTTCATCTGATTGCACTCAGTGAGAGTCCCCGAGGAGTTCAAACTATGTAGGAAAATAGTTTTATTGTGAGTGCAACCTATGTGTTTGGAAGCTGGCATAGTAGTAGCATAGACATAAATATAGCATGGAGTATTTCAAAACTTAAAGAAAAGTTAGTATTTTTGACAGACAACAGTAAAGGTATTGTATTGCTGACTTTGATAGTGGAGAAGTCCTATATTGAAGTTCATTTATTCTAAGGATTATTTAGTTAAACTTATCAAGTTGCATTTAAAAAAGAAGCGCAATGTACATAAATGAGACCAAGCATTTGAATGTAAGCAATATTTTTTGTGTTTGATAAAGAAATCATTTGAAAACGTGATATGTTCAGCAAAAAGTTTGAGGATTTTGTGTAATTTGGAATGCTGTAACTATTTTGACATTTGCAGATTGCTTTTGAAGTTGGGATTGTGCGCCAGTTTGTTTTCACATCAGCCTTACAGCGCATGAGTGTGATTACCAGAACTCTAGGGAATACCCAGATGGACTTGTACTGCAAGGGAGCACCAGAGAAAGTAGCATCTCTCTGCAAGCAAGAAACTTGTAAGACCTGTGGTTTTAAGTGACAGACAATTTTCAAAATTAATGCTGTGAATCTCCATCTTAACAAAGATTTCTTCAGGTTACACTCTGTAAATTTAAGTGATATGAAAAGTGAGGAATGCCTCTCAGATACAAGCTCACATACAAAATTAAATATCAATCAAGTAAGGTGCATTTTTGATCAGCCCCAGGTTTATTTGGCCATAATATTACAAAAAAAAAAAAAAATCAAAAGCTACATAACATGTGCTTTTGAGAAATCTCTCATAAGTTATTGTTCCATTATTCAGTGCCAGAAGACTACAGTGATGTACTTCATCGGTTCACCATGAAAGGGTTTCGTGTCATTGCCCTGGGCTGGAGACAGTTGGACCCCAAACTGAACTGGCACCATGCCATGAGAGTGCAGAGGTAAGCTGTGGCCATTTTTTACAGCCAGGTGCCAGATGATGTTGTAGACTTTACATGCCCATAGCCAGGGGGGTTTGGGGGGGGAACGAATCACCCTTTTTTGCCAGAAAATGGCCCACTCTGGGTAAAATTTGATTGAAGTAAAGGGTCATGGTAACAGAAAAAACACTCCTTTGAAATGGTTGGCTATGGGCCAACTTTAGCGATACAGTCTGTCTGTCTAGAGGGAATGCTACTTAATAGCCTTGGTAGAGGGTCATCTTTACAGCACCTCTGCAGCTTAAATTAATTGAAATCTCGTTTAAACTCAACAGCAGGGGGCAAACTTGTTGAGAACTTGTGAAAGGGGGAAAACTTATGTTAGAACTTCTCAAAGCACTACTGGTAAAGGGTGCAGTATTTTTCAAGAAATCCTGGAACAAATCCTAGTGGGGTTCTGTGTACATTTTAAGGTGTTTGAGATTCAGTTGGAAATTTGAGAAAATTTTTACTTTGATAATATCTTTTGTAAATACATCTGAAATTTAATTTTTTCATATTTTTGGCAGGGACTTTTACTATTGTGATTGCATGCATATTATTTTTCAGGGAAAATATAGAGTGTGAGCTGACATTCCTAGGTCTGATAATTATGCAGAACAGTTTAAAACCAGAGACTACTCCTGTAATAAGACAACTGAAGGCAGCTAACATAAGGGTTGTGATGGCCACAGGTTTGAATTTGTTTTATCTTTGTTCATTTATATTAATTTTGTGACTTAAAAGCTGGAATGTGTAACACTTTTTACAAGAGACTGAAACATTTGGATGTGAAGAAAAATAGTTACTAGCACAATAGTGAAAAACACAATGATACTGATTATCATTATTCGATTTCAAACAAGGTTTTCTGCAGTTTTCTTTCAAAGAAACACCTTATAAAAATTAGCAAATGTACAGAAGAACAAACAAGAAATAAAATTGGCACTCATTTCAGTGATGTTATTTTAATAATTACATGGGTTAAATACAAATCATTATATAGGTTTTTGTCATCAGTGATATATATTTTTGCCATGTCTCCGTTTTCAAGGTGACAACATGCACACAGCCATAAGTGTTGCCAGGGATTGTGCAATGGTGGATGAAGAAGAGAAGGTAATTATGGTGAAAGCCAGTCCTCCCAGCAAGAACAGTGAGGCAGTCATCCACTGGGAATATGCTGAGGTCAACCTGGACAATGAACTTACGGTATCCACAGCCGAGGAAAGTGACGCAGTGAGTGATCATTACAAACTGCTTGGAAATGTTTCATCCTATATAGCAACAAGCTTGTTTGTTAGATGGAGAAACATGTTGTATCTGTTGAACTCGATTGTTCAGAGTTTGATCAGAGTTTTTATACTGAGATATTATATTAAACAAAGAATGTATGCATTGCACTATTTTCTGTTTCAGTCTTATCACGCCTTGAACATTGTAAGAGCTGATGCATACCACTTTGCTCTTGATGGACGCTCTTTTGGGGTAGTAAGGCAATATTTTCCTGAACTCTTGCCGAAGGTTTGTATTTTTTCTATTTCATTAATTTGCTTTAACACAAATATTGATTTATATTTCATCAATAAGAGGAATTTATGAGCTGATGAATGTGGTGGCAATTGTAATTGTGTTACATGTAACTGTAAAACTGAATGTAAATTACTCTGATATTATTTCAAGAATGAGGTTGAATTTAAATGACTCACTGTCTTGCATATTGTTATATGTTTTGACTTAAATGCATGGTTTTTGTTCTAGATCTGTGTAAAAGGTACAATATTTGCCAGAATGTCTCCTGACCAAAAGGGTCAACTGATAGAACAACTTCAAGACCTAGGGTAGGTTTCCTTATAGCCCTACCTACTACATAAACCTACTTTCAAAAACCCAATCGTTAATTTCAAATTTCAAATAAATAAATTTAAAAAGAAGCTCTGCTGGGGAATTCATCTACTTAAAAGGCATACAAAGACTTTTGGTCAATAAAACTGCTACAAAGAAGTTTTTGCTGTTTTTTTTCAAAATGAACTCGTTACAAGTTATAAATGATTATTATAAAAAATTAATTTTGTTTTAAGATATGTTGTTGGAATGTGTGGAGATGGTGCTAATGACTGTGGAGTAAGTATTATAATAAAAAGTTTCTTTATCCTCCTCTGTGAAAAATATGCTTACAATTTAGAAAGAATCGCAAGTTTACTCATTGATAATTTGAGTATTAAGTGACCATACTGTCATTCTAGTAAATTTAGATCTTTTAACATAAAAGTTTGGGACCAAGAAGAGTTGAAATTATTCTTGTCAGACAAAAAAAAAAAAAAAAAAAATTGCATTCTGATCAATGCAAATATTATTTGAATGTCCATCATTATTTCTGATTATTTCTGATTAGATGATCTAAATTTGAATATTATTTTTAAATAACAATATTAAAATATCTTGTGGATTGTACGCACATGTCTTTTTTCCAGGCTTTGAAAACTGCCCATGCTGGCATCTCCCTGTCAGAAGCAGAAGCCTCTGTGGCCTCTCCCTTCACCTCTAAGACGCCAAACATTGAGTGTGTGCCCACTGTGATAAGGTGAGTCTCTCCCTTCACCTCTAAGACACCAAACATTCAGTGTGTGCCAACTGTGATAAGGTGAGTCTCTCCCTTCACCTCTAAGACACCAAACATTGAGTGCGTGCCCACTGTGATAAGGTTAGTCTCTCCCTTCACCAAATATTGAGTCATCATCATTGATCAAGAGTCTCTCACCAAGGAGTTATAACAGAAGGAGATTACACGCAAGCCTCTCTATTGTCCGATGTCTGTTACGGTGGGCGGAGCTGGCAACGGGGGGCCTCCTGTCTCAAGGTTTCGTCTGGGTCGCTCTCCTCCGCTTGGAGATTGATTTTATATGCTTTATTTCGCGTTAGAATTCGAGATCAGTAGTGTCAAAGCGCTGTATGCTGACGATTTTTTTCACAGGTAGTTATTTGGACGATGTGCTGGGAGGGAACGATATCATAGAAAGCGATTATAAGGTGGTGACTAAGG